TCCTGCAATGCCAAACAGCAGACACTTCTCTTAGCCATTTATGTCTCTGCCCCCTAAGACAGGCTCAGTCGCCTACCAGGAGGAGGTATTTCACACTACTCAGTTCCCTCAAAACAAGCCACTGTCCACTCAAGATTAATAAGTCAGCAAATAATCAGACAAGTGGAAGGTCAGTAGAGCCAAATCTTAGGGGCTCCCAGAAGCCACCTCTGCCCCCTGCCAGTGAGCCTGGTCCAGGACCCAAACCTCTACCACTCTTTTTGTTGTTGCTGCTGCTGGGGATCAAACCCAGGACCTGGCACACGCTAGGCTCTAACACGCTCTAACACTGAGCTATATCCTCAGCTTTTTGAAAAAAGGAAACTTTTGAGGTAGGGTATTCCCAAGTCATTCAAGCTAGCCTTGAACTTACTCTGTGATCCAGGCAGACCTTGAACTTACAACCCTCTTGCCTCAGCCTCCTTAGTAGTTTGACTATAGGCCTGCACTATCAGGCCCATTGAATGCCATGCTCAGACAAACCCTTCATTCTCTCTTACCCCCTGCCCCGGACCTTGATGGAAATCTGACCACACTGATGTGTGCTGCCCTACAAATGACATATGAAGGCTACGTGTGTGAAAGCAGCCAGTCACAGTCTTTGGGGGGGGGGCATGTTTCAAGACAGGGTTTCTCTGTGGCTTTGGAGGCTGTCTCTTGTAGATCAGGTTGGCCTTGAACTCACAGAGATCTGCCTACCTCTGCCTCTCCAGTGCTGAGACTAAAAGTGTGCACCACCACTACCCAGCAATTCCATTTCTTTTTCTTTCTTTTGTGTGTGTATCTGTGTGTGTGTGTGTGTGTGTGTGTGTGTGTGTGTGTGTGTGTGTTTCAAGACAAGATTTCTCTGTGTGTAGCCCTGGTTGTCCTGGAACTTGTTCTGTAGACCAGTCTGGTCTAGAACTCAGATCTGGCTGTCTCTGCCTCCTGAGTGCTAGGATTAAAGGCATGGGCCACCACCACGCAGCTATATATAATTCCATTTCTAAAGTGCCTGTAACAGGCAACTCTGGAGACAGGAAAATTGATGCCATGCAGGACTGGGAGGGATCAAGGACACAAGTAACATATAAACACAGAGTTTCTTTTGAAGACAAGGAAAGTGTTCTAAAATCAACTAGTGTTAAGATCCAACCTGTTGAGTGCAGTAAAAAACCCTGGAATGACCATGCAGCCACAAAGAGAATGAAATCCTGCCATTTGCAACAGTTTGACTGGAATCACAAGCCAAGCACAGAAAGTTCACTTGTTCCCACTCAGTCTAACGGTTGATGTAAAGCTAGATATGGTGTCTCCTGCCTAAGAATCTCAGCACTTGGGAGGCTGATGCAGAAGGATGTCCACACCTTGAAGACCTAAGCCACAGGGTCTCAAGACAAAGACCTAAGCCACAGGGTCTCAAGACAAACAGAGGCAGGGGTATGTGCGTATAATCCCAGCTAGGGCAACCATGGTGTTGGAGGTGTTATTCATTAGGTACAATCCTCTCTCTCTCTCTCTCTCTCTCTCTCTCTCTCTCTCTCTCTCTCTCTCTCTCTGTGTGTGTGTGTGTGTGTGTGTGTGTGTGTGTGTGTGTGTGTGTGTACGTGTACGCACACACATACACTGGGGATTGAACACAAGGACTTGGGTGAACTGAGCTACATCCCCAGACATCTTGCTTTTTGAGACAAGGTCTCTCCCTCTTGGTGTTCGCCAAGTAGCTTAGGCTATCTGCAAGCCCCAGGAATCCACCTATTTCCACTTTCCCAGCACTGGAATTACAGATTGCAATGCCCAGCTTTTTTATGTGAATTTTGAGTTTGAACTCAGGTCTTCATATGGATTTGAACTCAGGTTCTCATCTTGCAAGGAAAGCACTCTGCACATTAAGTTTTCTCCCCAGCCCAATGCACTATATATTTTTTTAATAATTTACTTAGTATAGGCATTGGTATTTTGCCTTCATATATGTCTGAGTGAGGGTGTCAGGTTTCCTAGAACTGAAGTTATAGGCAGTTGTAAGCTGCCATGTGGATGCTGGGAATTGAATCCAGGTCCTCTGGAAGAGCAGCCAATGCTCTTAACCACTGAGCCATCTCTCCAGCCCCATACATTTTTTTTTGTTTAGTTGATTGGTTTTGGGTTTCTTTTGTGGTTTTTGTTTTCATTTTTTTGAGTTAGGGTTTCTCTGTATAGCCCTGGCTGAGACAGGGGTTCTCTGTGTAGCTTTGTAGACCAGGCTGGCCTTGAACTTACAGAGATCCGCCTGCCTCTGTCTCCCAAGTGCTGGGATTAAAGGAATGCGCCACCACTGCCTGACTCAGTTTATACATTTTTAAAACTAGAAGAAAGTGTTTTGAAAGTTTCTAGAATAAGGAAATAATCAATGGCTAAGGAGATATCTATGTTTAACCTAATTTAAATATTACACAGTATATAATATATTGAAACAGTGCATGGCATTCCATTGATGTACCCATTTTGTTTGTTTGTTAAGATGGTATTTTACTGTATAATTCTGGCTGTGCTAGAACTCACTATGTGAACCAAGCTGGTCTTGAACTCACAGAGATCCTCCTGCCTTTGCTTCCTGAGTGCTGGTTTTAGAGGTGTGTACCACCACACCTGGCTAATTTTTGTTTTTTAGCTGGGAGGCAGAGGCAAGCATATCTCTGAGTTCAAGGCCAACCTGATCTATACAGCAAGTTCCTGGATATCCAGGGCTACATATGAGACGGGGGAGGGAGGAACAACCCATTAAACAATGTACTTTAGGTGGGTGAGTTATATGACATATGAATTACATTAATAAAGGTATTTTTTAAATCCCATTAGAAAATAAAGAGTGGCCGGGCGTTGGTGGCGCACGCCTTTAATCCCAGCACTTGGGAGGCAGAGGCAGGTGGATCTCTGTGAGTTCGAGGCCAGGCTGGACCGAAAGCCTCCAAAACAATACAGAGAAACCCTGTCTCGAAAAACCAAAAAAAAAAAAAGAAAAGAAAATAAAGAGTGTAGTGGCACACGCTTGTCACCTTAGCACTTGGGAGGCTGAAGTAGGAAAATTGACATAAGTTTGAGGCTAGCCTGGACTGTATTGTAAAACCATGTCTCAAAAGTCCAAAACATAGGCCAGGTGGTGATGATGCACGCCTTTAATCCCAGCACTCGGCAAGCAGAGGCAGGCGGATCTCTGTGAGTTTGAGGCCAGCTTGGTCTACAAAGCTACACAGAGAAACCCTGCCTCAAAAAAAAAAGTCTAAATAAATAAATAAATAAATAAAGCCCATAGTGGCTTCTCTTCCCTCAGAAGGGAGACTCCCTGCTACACTTAGTCCCTATAACCACAGAACACACTTACGCTGGGTGGGGCTCTGTTCTTAAGCACTTTGTGAGGACTCATCTCAGCCTTTCCCGGCTCTTTAATGCAGGCATTATGCTTCTGCCCACTTTGCGGCTAGGTAAACTGATGGGAGGTTGAGTAGCTTGCCTAAGATGACTTAATTCCCTCGTGTTTGTGTCTAGCCTGGGCAGTTTTTGCAGTGTGTCATCAGGACCTGTTTAGAAGCTTCTTTGCCTGGAGTGCAGCCCCAGGGATTCAGTCCTAGTGTCTGGTTTAGAGTTGTAGCCCTTTCTCTTGGCACGTCAGACCCGACTCAAATACAGAGAAAGAAAAAGTGCCAGAGATGGGTCCAGTGGTCTTACGGTCCTCAATCCAGCTTCTTTTGGGCAAGGACAATTCACTCTGGCCCCAATTCCCAGAAGACAATTTTAGAATCTGTTTTCTCCTGAGCTCGTATGTGATTTTCCTCCTGTCTCCCTTCCTGGGACCTTTCTCTGTAACCAAGAAGTTGGCTCTGCCCAGGGCCATTAGCCCCTCCCTGAGTGCATCAGGCAGCACAGGAAGTTTAGATGGGCCCTGCCCAGGACCCTGCCTAACCCTGTCTCTTGAATTAAGCCTCTTATACTTGAGATGCTGTCACTGTCTCCACAGCCTGTCAGGTGGCCCTGGATCATATGGGAACCTAATGGAGGGACCAGAGATGTTTAAAGAAGAGTGGGAGGATGACCCCAATTCCTAATGACTCAGCAGTAGTGTCACTCCAAAGGAGGCAGTGTCACCCCACCCAGGTCTCTGGTTCTAACTGGCCTGTTTTCTCCCCCTGCCCTAACCTCATTGTGAAAGTCTGTGCTTTCCAGCCCGGTCCATCAGCACACATTCTCTGTGATATCTTCTGGAAGTAGCCATCCTACCCAATGACTTGCTTTGAGGATAATCTAAGACAAAATATTCAGAGTCCTGCAGAAGTGACTAGTTCACATACCCCCACACACACAACCTGGCAAGGCTGGCCACACCCTCTGACTTGTGCCCAGACCTCCAGCAAAAGCCAGATGGTAAAATCTGGAAAATCAGAGCCTCAAGAACTCCATTGTTCCCCAGCCTCCAGCATCCTGACAACTTCCTCCCTCCCCATGGGCCCCAAGGGAAGCCAGGCCCCAGGGGCTCCCAGTGCAGCAAGGCCACTGTGACTTGGAAACGAGGCTGGAGTAATACCCTGGTGGCCCCGGAGGCTTGCCTGCCTTTGAGGCATTCAGAACCCTTGGCCCTCTTCTGGCTGCATTCTCTGTTAATACAGAACTCCACTCAGACAGCCACACACATTAAGAAAACAATCAAGAACACCCCCCCAAGTTGGCTGTCACTCCTGCAGAATTTCACTCCAGATATACCCCTGAATCCTTCTGCCAGGGGAGTCAGGAAGCAGTCTACCAGTGATATCTGGAAGCAGACATGAAGAAAGAACAAACAGAACTGAGTTTTGGGTCCCTCTAGAAGGGAAGTCAGGAGATGAGAAAGGGTTTCCCCCGCCAAGGCTCCAATACCCCACTCTTCTCTGCACTTTAAGTCCCTTCCCTGAGGACATGCCTGCCATGCTGGGGTGCCCAAGCCCATTCCCTGAGCAAAGCACAGGACTTACCATGATAGAAAAGATGAGGGGAATGAGGTTGAGGGGCCACACAGGGCAGAAGCAAGAGGCAATGGCAAGGACCAAGTAATCTTTGGGGGCTTCTTGGTCCTGGGCGTAGGAGGTGGTGGCCACAGAGGATGCCCGCCGAGAGCTGGCCCGAGAAGGGGAGCCAGGGAGAGAGTGCTGGCGGTGGCCCTCGGAGATGACCTTGAAGGGCAGGCTGTGGCCATTCTGCTCCAGGTCCAGAGCCCCTGACAGAGACTTGGACAGACTCAGGGCTTTGTCATCCTTGTTCTCTACTTTAGTGAGAAGCTTTTCCATCTCGGGCAGCTCCAACGGTGAGGTGGAGCCTGGGTCTTGAAACTGGGGCTGCACCGGGTTGGCCATGTTGGCTTGGGCCTTGGGTTTCTTCGGGTCCAGGTAGGGTCAGCGTGCTCCAGAGGGTCTTCAGCACACCATTCCCCAGCTCAGATTTCAGACCTCCAGGACACGGGTAGATGCGTTTGCAGGGGCTGGGGACCAGCTGAGCGCTGGAAGACTCAAAAGAGTGTCTCGAGGCCGGCAGAGTTCACAGCTGGAATCTGTGGCTGCTGCTGCTGCTGTCGCCACTGAGAAGCTCCCAGGAAGCTGGAGGCTTTGGCTCTGTTCAAGTTTGAGGCCAACTTTGCTGGAGCTGCTGACTGCACAGATGGGCGGGGAAGCAAGAGAAAATCGGGAGAGCAGAGAGAGGAAGAATGCACTCTTCTTGACTCTCTCGTGAGACTGAGTATGAGGCAGGGAAACGTGTGTGTGTGTGTGTGTGTGTGTGTGTGTGTGTGTGTGTGTGTGTGTGTGTGTGGTGACACAGCCTCCCTCCCTCTCCACCCTCCTTGGAGATGCCTCCTTTTTTCAATTCTCTTCTCCCCAGAGAACCATCCCAGCAGCATCTTGCCTGTGGCCCAGCCCAGCCCCACAGAGTCCACAGAGACTTGGGCTAGCCTCTGCTTTCCTCTGCAGTCCCAGACCTGCTCCTCTGGGCCATGGGCTTAGATAGGGAAAAAGACAGTGGTCACCAAAGTGAGCGCCTCCTGCTCCTCCTCCACTAAGCAGGGTTGTGCTTCCCATTGTCTGTTGGCAAAGTTGGGCCCTGGGCCCATCATCTCCCACCTAGGCCTTCACCCTCAACACTTATCTGGGGGGAGAGATGTGAGGGCTGTGTGGTCCCTGGAGGACTCGGTAGGGCCCTATGCCCAGGTTTCTAAACAGCTCACCAAGGGCTAACAAAGGGACCACGCCTTCCATGGCTTATGGTGCTGAGCTATAGGCAGAGACCCTCTTAGGATTTCTCTAACAGACGCCAGCTCTGAAAGGGCCAGAGGCTCTGCCTGTCTCTCCTCTGACTCTTTCCTCCTCGGTCTCTGCCTCCTTTACTCTTTTCATCTTGTCCTCTTTCTCTTCCTTGTCTCCTTGTTCTGTTTCACCAGAGTGACCTAAAGTCACCAAGAGTACACAGAGGAAGTATGAAATCATTTAAAATTCCAGGGTCATGCATGACGTGGGAAACCAGAGTTGGAAGGGCTGCAGAGATCATGGAGTTCAAATCTGCTGCTTTTATAATTCAGAAATAGAGGCCCATATGGGAAGGAACACTCTGTCTTAGTCAGATGGCAATTGCTGCCCCATGTCTTGGGCTGGCTGGGAGCAAAACCAGCCATGGTGTGAGGAGGGACAGCTTTGGTGGGTTTCAAGTGTATTTCAGAAATACTGCTCCTAGCAAAGGTAGAAGAGGCGTTTGACTTCACAGAGGGCTGGCTGGAGGAAGAGAAGAAGGGAGGAATGAATGCCAGTCCCAAGCAGGAGTCACATGTGGACTGCCTGAAGGGGGCCCTGGAGGACCGAAAGCACACCTGGGAACTAGTAAGCTTAGAAAACATTTGAGGAATTCAGGTGAATTTTCATGTTTGATAAATTAAACTATACTAATATTTTTGTTCATAGACACCCATATACATGCCGACACCACATACATGCCAGATAGGAATGACAGCTGTACTCCCCAGCCCTCGGGAGGCAGAACCAGGGGTCCCCGACTTGTGAATCAGTGGGCCCCTAGTTCAGAAAGGGCTCTGACTTAGTATAGAAGCGAGAAGAGAAATTGAAGAAACCACCCACTGCCAACCTCTGTCCTCCAAAACATGTGCACAAACATGCATGTGCACCAACATACATGACCACCCCCCACACACACTCATACTATTCGTCCACACACACATACACCTAAAAAAGGAACTTTTATTCAGTAAGGGAAAACCATTGCTATTTGCAAAAGGCCTCTAGGGAGAGACATTCTCCATCTCAGACTTCAGGGTGGCTCTTTCTATCTCAAGCCTGGAGGATGGCTAGGGAATGAACTGGGTGTATGGCCCTGCCTGGGAGTTTCAGAAAACAGGCTAATGCCTTTCAAATAGAAAAAGCCTCCAAGGCAAGGAAATTAGGTCCCTGACAGTGACAGGGCTCTCACCAGTGTCCAGGTCCACAGGCGTCAGGTTACAATGTGGGAGCTGTCCCTTGGATGGAGGAACCCAGGCCCTGCCCAACCTGAGCAGTTCTTCCAGCCAACTGTGGCTCCAAGCACTTGAAATGTGACTAGTCCAAATGAAAATGTGCTGGGGGAAATGTATTCCAAGTAAATAAATATCAGAGGGAACCAGACATAAAAAGACGTTTTTGCCTTAACAAAAGATAAAATGAAAAAATGAAGTCAAGATGCCCCCAGAGTGGTCTTTGGCAGTAGCAGGAAAGGGGCTTGGGGGGGCTGGAATTGGGGGACCACCAAGAGAGGTTGACCAGTGTAAAATACTGGGTCTGCAGTGCCACCTAGTGGGTGACAGTGATAGGAGAATGACCAGATTTGTGGGTGGGACTCTCAGAGAATGTGGGTGAGCAGAGAAGCAGACGTTTTGGTATTCCCAGATGAATCCAACCAGGCCAGTGGTCCATTATGCAGTGTCCAAGATAGTGTCCCATCCAGGTTGCACATAGAGGCTCACGGATCCTATGCATTCTAAGGTGGACTTGGCCTACACAGTACTCTGTGTGTGTGTGTATGTGTATGTGGTGTGTGTGTGTGTGTGCTGTGTGTGTTGGTGACCACATGTGTGTATGTGTGTATTGTGTGTGTGTGCCTGTGTGAATGTGTGTGTGTGTGTGTGTGTGTGTGTAGACCAGACACTGATATCAAGTGTCCTCCTCAATCACTCTCAACCTTTTTTTTTTTTTTTTTTTTTTTTTTTTGGTTTTTACGAGACGGGGTTTCTCTGTATTGTTTTGGAGGCTGTCGGTCCAGCCCAGCCTCGAACTCACAGAGATCTGCCTGCCTCTGCCTCCCGAGTACTGGGATTAAAGGCGTGCGCCACCACCTCCCGGCTCAACCTTAGTTTTTGAGACAGAGTTGGTCACTGAACCTGGAGATTGCTGATTAGCTAAACTGACTGGACAGAAAACCCCAAAATTTTCCTGTTTATGCCTCCCAGTGCTGGGATGACAGAGTGTATGTACCTGGTTTACATGGGTACTGAGTGTTGAGCTCAAGTCCCCAGAATTCACTAAGGCATCTCCTGTTTCAAATATATGGTGGGGTTTTCCCTACAATCCCTCAGTTGTCCTCTCTTCTTAAAAATATACTTATGGGACTGCAGAGATGGCTCAGCAGTTAAGAGCACTGACTGCTCTTCCAAGGAATCCTGGTTCAATTCCCAACACTCACATGGCAGCTCACAACTGTCTCTAACTCCAGTTACGGGGGATCTGACACCCTCACACAGACATATACACAGGCAAAAATCCAATGCATGTAAAATAAAATAAAATTTTTTTGGTTTTTTTTCGAGACAGGGTTTCTCTGTGGCTTTGGAGGCTGTCCTGGAACTAGCTCTTGTAGACCAGGCTGGCCTCGAACTCACAGAGATCCGCCTGCCTCTGCCTCCCGAGTGCTGGGATTAAAGGCATGTGCCACCAACGCCCGGCTAAAATAAATTATTTTAAAAATATTCTTTTTTTAAAGATTTATTTATTTATTACATATACACCAGATTGAATTGTAGATGGTTGTGAGCCACCATGTGGTTGCTGGGAATTGAACTCAAGACCTCTGGAAGAGCAGTCAGTGCTCTTAACCTCTGAGCCATCTCTCCAGCCCTTAAAAATATTCTTATTACACTTATTTGTTTTGTTGGGGTGGGGTGCATGTGTGTGCCACAGCAAACATGTGAAAGTCAGAGAACAACTTGAAGGAGTTGGTTCTCTTCTTACACTGTGGAGGTTCCAGAGGTCAAACTTAGGTTGTTGGGTTTGATAGCACGTGACTTTACCTACTGAACCATCTCCCCAACCCTTACAAAATTTTCATTTTAACTTACCCCATGTAAAAGTTTGGGTTTCAGAATTTTAATATAAAGATATTAGGACCTAAAGAGCTTTGAGCTCTTTGACCAACTCCTTGTTCACACAGCCCGGCCTGCCTGGGGATGGGAGTGCTGAGCACTGCTCCGGCTGGACAAGTAGACGGCAGAGCCCTCCTGAGCTGTGAAGATGCTAAAAGTGCTGCAACTTCATCTTCCCTACCATTAGATGTTAGCCTCTGTCAGGCTGAGCAGCAGGGTCTGTGAGCTCAGCTCTTCTGAGATTGAGGCAGGAGGATGGCCTCAGTTCCTGGCCACCCTGGCCTATACAAGCAGCAGGTACAATCACACACACACACACACACACACACAGAGAGAGAGAGAGAGAGAGAGAGAGAGAGAGAGAGAGAGAGAGAGAGAGAGAGAGAGAAGAGAGAGAACAGGGCATGATGGTGCACACGTTTAATCCCAGCACTCAAGATATAACAGGCTGGAGAAATGGCTCAGCTGTTAAGAGCATTTGTTTCTCTTGCAGGGGAGGACCTGGGCTCAATTCCCAACATGCACATGGTGGCTCATAGCCATTTGTAACTTTAGTTTTAGGGGATCTTCTGACTTCTGTGGTGCGCATACATACAGGCAGGCAAAACACACAAAGAATAAAATGAATGAATTACAAACAGCAAAATCGTAAGGGGGCTGGAGAGCATGTGTGGCTCTTGCAGAGGACCAGGATTCAGTTCCCAGCACCCATATTAGGTGGTTCCCAACCACACTCAACTCCAACGTCAGGGCATCTAGCACCTTCGTCTGGATTCTGAGAGCACCTGAATTCATGTGCACATACTACCCCCACACACACATAATTAGAACTGATACAAATAGAACTTTTTAAAAATTCAGGCAGACTTTCCCCACTGTTCCCCAGAGGCAGACAGGATTTTTCCTGTCTCCCTCTTCTCTCCTCTCCTCTCTCTGTCTCTGTCTCTGTCTCATCTCTTTTTTCTCATTCCTTCTAATAAAACTTCTCACAAAAAAAATTCAGGCAAACTTTTAAAAGTACCAATACTACTGCTACTACTAATAATAATAAAAAAATCCCTTGGGAGACTCTTTGAGTGATGTTTTTACTAATCTTGCATAGATAAGAATTTCTTTGTGCATATCATGTACTCTTCCCCCTCCTTCTTTGCTATGTTAAGACAAACCCATCTGGTGTTAGTTGAAAAGTTCCATCTCTTTAATAGTCTAAATTTTATCTTTCTTTTACTGGATCACTCATCTAGGAGAATGGACATACTCTTGGGAAGTAATTTTTTTTCAAAACTCATGTAAGGGTTGTAGAATCTCTTTGTAGAAAAATTATGTAGGCACATACTTGAGAGTCTTCTGGCTTAGGAGCCTCCTGAAGCATCAGGGAGAGGAGGCAGCTCCTGTTTAGTTAGTACATACATGCTCACACACATATCTATTCAGGCATACATCTACATAAGTACATATATAATATGTATATGCCAAAAGATTTCCTGATAGGCAAATCCGTATCAGCATGCCAGCACTCAAACACCGAGTCCCAAGAAAGCAATAAAGGGAACCATGTTGCAGACCCTGTGGCTTCTGAACACCTTTCCATACGGTCTCTGAAGGCAAACTTGTGAGCAGATGGATTGAATAGCTTCTGGGAGTAATTACAGAGGAGCTAAGCACTCTGCCAAGGCCTTTAACCGTGGGTCTCATTTGCTCTGTACAGATACTTGTGATGTAACGACTAACTGTAGCCCATTACACTAAGAGGTTACATGATTTGCTCAAGGGCACTCATCTGCCCAGCGAGGAGAAGGCAGGCAGACCTCTGATTCAGTGCCCTCAAGTGCTGCATATCCTAATTCTACCCACAGGGGGTGCCATCGCTATCGTTCGGAAAAGAATGTGATTGGGCGAGAAAAATCTTACTGTCTTGGGATTTAGGAAACTAGGATTTGCTAGTTGTTTATCTTATTTCCATTGAAAGTGTTCCTGGAGGTAAAACAAGGGCAAAGTGTTGTCTGCTCTGCCCAAACATAGAATTGTAGTATCGAACAGTTTATAAACAACTGCTGGAAACTATCTCGGCCTCCCTGAGGTGACCTCCCTATTCACATCAGAGGTAAAGTGTCAGGGAGATCGATCAGGCAGGCCCAGGTCCATTCCATTTAGGGACAGTACAGAAGCTAGAGTCTCAGCTTCGCTCCTATCTAGACCAGAGCAGAAACCTTCCCGCGGACTGTGTCACAACCTTGACTGAAAACAGGAGCCATAAGGCTATGACTGGAGACAGGACCTCACAGAAAGCAGATAGCTTCAGTTGTGGCCTTGAACTTCACCTTGACTGTGCTGAGAAACCCTCATTCCCCCAGGCCGTGCTAGTGGCATCTGTGCAGCCTCCATTCAGAGGGAGCAACAGCTCAGCATTCAGCGCCGGCAGCATTTAGTACCCTGCGCGCGCGGGAACCCATCCTATAGCTGGCCGGTTCTCCATAAATCTAAGGAAATGTGTCCCTGAGCCTCCCCCTTAGCCTTGGAGTAAGACCACTCTTCCCCAACCCACTCCTCAAAGTCTCTCCTGGATTCCTAGTCTGGTGCTCTATCGGCTGAGAGCTCTGCCTATCACAATGGGTCCCCAACCCCGACCCTTGACCTTGCCCAGCCACTCTTCTCAAGGCAGCCTAGATGGAGACTCTGCAGACAGCAGTCCTGCAGGGAGACTTACAGTTAGGCTGGCAATGACCTTAGCCTCTGGTGCCCGTTAACTTTCTCCAGCACAGTGAGGAATTTCCCTGCTAGATGTCTCTTTCCCGGGGCTGATCTCACTGTGCCCAGCCATTCCCGGGGTCTTTCTATAAGCCAGGGCGCGGGTGCCTACCTTAAGGCTGTGGACCCTACCCACCCTTGCAAAGTAGTCCCCAGGTTCCGAGGCTTTCCTTGCCTCACTAAGTCATTGAACTCAGTGGAGTCCTGTAGTGGATGGACAAGACACTTTCTTTTTATTTGGCCATTTTCCGGGCCTCTTATATCAGCAGCAGCCCAACCATGGTAAGAGGGTCATACCGTGTGCCCCCAGATCATAGCAGCTATCTACCCACAAACCCCCACCAGTCCCGCTGTCCAAATGCAGCAAGAGAAAAGAGGGCACAGAGGCACAGGGAAGCAAAGGCCACTTTCCAGAGAGAAAAGGTTGACCAAGTCCAAAGCTAAGATCTCCTTCAGCACCCCAGGCTGGGATGTGGGGAGGCTGCCCTGTCCCCCAGAGCTCTTCCCATTGGTAAGGCAGCCTCCTCTGTCACTCAAGTCGCAACCCACTCAGTTTTGCTCTGTCCAGGATGGTTTTTTTTTTTTTTTCAGTCTTCTCTTCGGCAGTCATCATTCCTGGTTACCCTCTCGGTGGCCCAGTCAGGACTGCTGGTAGCCCAGCCCAGAGCCCCACCGCCACGGAATCGGTCCAACTGGGGGAGCCCCGGGACATCGGCGCCAGCTTCCTCCGGAGGCCTGGGCTAACCTGGGTCCTTCGGCCATCACCCTGGGCCGCCCCAAGTGCGCGTGCGGGGAACACGAAGCGCAGCGCGGTGCAGGCGGCACTAAAGAGCTGGTGACGTCCCTGCGCGCGAGGCCAGGCACCGCGAGCGGAGGCACAGACCGAGGAGCACTGAAGCCAGAATCCCCGGCTCCTGAGCCTTGAGCAGCCTGGCCGTGACACTCCAGGTGGCTGCAGGGCCAGCGGGGCGCCGGGCTGGCGCGCAGGACCAGGGAGAGCGCAGTGATGCGGTGGATGGCCCTACGCAGCGTGGCGATCTTGGAGAGCCTCTTGCCACCCAGGTCGTGCTGTAGAGCCCGGCGCAGCGCATTAAACGCCTCATTGTAATCCAGGATGCGCTTGCGCTCCCGCACGTTGGCCGCCATGCGCCGCGCCTTGGACCGTGCGGGCCGCTCGCGCTTTCTGCCTGCCGCCTCCTCTGCCTCGTCCAGGCTGCGCCTCAGCACTCCAAAATTCCTGCCAGCCTCGGGGCAAGAGCGCCCCAAGTCCTCCACAGAACCCTCACTCCACTTCAGGTCCCTGAGGCCTAATCCTGTCGTGCCTCGAAGCATGGCCTATGCCCTGACCCTGCAGCTTCAGCCTGGGCTCCAAAGGGCTGCTGGTCCACTCTGACTGTTGTCGCTTTCTGGCCGGACACTCTCTGGACTGGCCCTCTCTAGCTGGGCTTTATGACACCACGTGGCTCCCCGCCCTCCCTGTCCATCCATCTCCCTCCTCCAGCTTTATTACCTGCCCCCAGGTAAGATGGTGAGGGAGGAACTGAGAGGAAGGAAGGAAGCGAGGAAGAAAGCATGCAGATTCTTGTACACAGGACCAGCTGGGTAGCCTGGTCACGCCCGAGGCAGTGCTCCAGTTGTCACAGGGAACATGCCTGTTCTGCTCAGGGACCCTCCGGTGTGACTGGGTTCTGTTTCTGTCTCCTGACCCCAGATAAAATGGCACATTTGATTCTGGGCAAGAGAGCAGATAGGCTTACAGAAGGATAGCAATGGTGGATTGAGTGAGTTTTAAGAACCTTGGGTAATGGTGAGGTGTCTCCACGGGTAAGGGGCACGTGCTGCCAAGCATTACCACCTGAGTTCAATCTGTGAACAAGCAGAGTTGACTCTGAGGTAAAGCATGGCCATCCCAGAAGAATCCAGAGAGGAGGAGCAGATCCGAAGCAGCCAGCCCTGCAGGGCCCTGTAAGTAGCCTGGAGCTCCTCCGTGAGGCTGGTCTGGACTCTGGATTGAGGTTTGGGTTGAGCCCAGCATTCCCCCTACCCCTTCTGTGCTCCCTCTTCTTCAGGCAGAGTGGGGCTGAGTCAGAAGCAAAGAGTGAGAAAGAGTTTTCTTTCTGGCTTGTCTTGCAGTACCCATCAGGAGCAATTCTTAAAGTGCAGGGCCTTTGAACAGCCCCACGACACAGTGCAGTCAAGCTATGGATGCAGAGGACAATCCCCATGGCTGTCACCAAGGATGGGAATTTTAAACAAGATTTAAGAGGAGAGGAAGGAAGGAAGAAAAGAATGATGCTTATTCCCAGGGACAGATTCCCAATGGAATTTCAGGTTTGCATTCTTTATTTATCAGGAGCAACATATTAAGATTAATCTCATTCCCAGCCACATCCATATTACACATGATTTCATTACTTCAAGCTGAGTTTTCCCACAGAGGACAAGAACATGCCACTGGGAAACATGTATTCACTTATGACTGTCCGTTTTGTTCACTTGCTTGAAAATCACCTAAAGACTGTATTTTTCAGGATCAGTTTCTCCAAAATGTCCAATATATGTGGAACAGAAAGCAGCTAATCCCAGCGTGTTGGCACACACCCATAATCCCAGCACTTGGGAGGTAGGGGCAGGATGATCAGGAGTTGGATGCCAGCCTGGGCTACATGAGACCTCACCTAGAGAACAAAACAAGAAAGTGGCGAGAAGCCAGGTGTCACATGCATGCCTGTCATCTCTGCACTTAGGAAGAAGGCTGAGTCCAGGTCACCAGCTTGAGGCCAGTCTGGGCTGCTTATCGAGCCCTTGTTTTAGAAGAGGCAGGCGAGGGCTGGGAGGTTAGCTCAGTGGTCTATATATACATAAATGCCTGATTCAAAACCTAGCACTTCAAAACAAAAAACAGGCCACAACCAAGATTCCCAGTGTCTGAGCATTACTGCCCACCATCATGCTCAAAAAACAGGGTGCCAGTCTAGATGGATCTCAGAACAGAAGATAGGCCAGACCAAAGCCCAGGCATCGGGCTCCTGAGTGTCACAGTCCATGGGTACTCTGCCGTGTCTTTTAGTCTGTTGAAGCCATGCTAGAGACTGAGTCATGGTTCCTGTTCATCCAGGCAGACTCTGGGACCCAGCATCTAAGAAAAGCCTGACTCTAGAGTGGAGAGTGTTGGACAGAGTGGCTCCTCTGAACAGTTTGGTACCAAAGAAAGCTTGGTGGTGATGGGGGTTCTTCCTCCTGTCCACTCCAGCCAGTGGCTCCTAACGGCGCAAACCTGTGCCCGTCTATCTCATCTGCTTACCTTTTGTTTTATGTAGAAGATACCTTCTCCATGAGAGTTTAGCCAGGGGCCTTGTGAGATGGCTCAGTCAGTAGTGTCTGCTGTACAAACAGAAAGGCCCGTTCAGATACTCAGCACCCACATCAAGCTGGGCCCAGCATCTATAATCCCAGAGCTGGCTAGATGGAGACAGGTGGACCCCAGGAGCTCACTGACAAGCCAGTCTCATCATACTGATGAGCTCAGGTTCAGTGAGAGAGTATATCTCAAAAATACAAGGTAGAGAACAATTGAGGAAGACACTTGGCTAAATTGGAATTGATGGAGGTAATGGGGAAATGAAAGAAAGCAGACAGACAGACACCCCCCAGACACAGAATTAAACTTCTAATCAGAACAACTAGAGGGCCGCACTCTCCTCTGGAGTAGCGACTGTTCGCACAAAGGCACAGGAAGTCTGGGGCTTTTATAGAGTAGAAAAGAGTTGGGTGAAAGATTTCCTCTGCAGGTCAGTTCTCCTGCAGTCTCAAAGTAGTAGACACCCGGATCACACGCTCACCTTTAATCCCAGCACCTTTAATCCCAGAAGCAGGTGGATCTCTGTGAGTTTGAGGCCAGCCTGGTCTACACAGAGAATTCCGGGACAGCCAGGGCTGCACAGAGAAACCCTGTCTCAAAGAAAAAAGGGGTAAACACAACTGAAAGTGGTTTGTGGCTCCTCCTCAGATCCCAGCAGTCCACAGGTGCCATCAGTCAAGTCAACTGGCCAGTCCAGAGCTTTTCAGTCCACCTGGGGTTTTAGGTCATTAACCCTTCATACCTGATGCCAGCCTCTAACCTCCACTTGTATGCACACACATGTACACACACACACACACACACACACACATATTACACACAGGCACAAGAGAAAAAAGACAAAAAGAGTGTAGACAGGACTACATGACATACCAGGCCAAGTGTGAAACCAAATAAAGATGTGGAGCCCTTGTTCAAAACTATTAAGAATTTGAAGATGGAGACAGACAGCATTTAACCTGATCCTGGTGTTTGGAAGCACTACATAGTCCGAGACCCATGAGGGTAGGAAAGAGCTCAAGCACTGGCAGATAGATACTCATCTGGATACCTAGCAGCCAAGACAGGCAAGCCCTTGGCACCATGGTGGATAGAAGGAGGGGACCAATGCAAGCAAGCTGTCCTTCTCCTTCCATCTCCAGAGAGCTTCCCGGAAGCAAAGGGGCAGGTGCCAGTGGGGGATAAATAAGCTTAAATTGCTTCTGACGCCTTCCTTCCTCCAGTGACTCAGTATCTAGAACTCACACTCTACTATGGACTCTATGCAGCTTAGTAATAATTAATCATAAAAATAATAACCCTAATAGTACTGATACCGACTTCTGCAAAGTGTTTACCGTAGCCGAGGCATCGGACTAAGTGCTTTTAAGCATACATTATCTTAGTCTCCCAGCAATCCTATATGGAAGGCCTATTATTATAATACCCATTTTACAGACTGTAAGCGGAAGAACTCGGGCCAAGCCAGCGAGCTGACCTGTAGTGTGGCTCCTATTCCAACACTAAGGTCTTAACCTTTATGGGCTGGGCCTGTGTTCTCAGCTCTTGGGTACTCAGCCCCAGTACCCAAAGTCCCCACTGACCACCTGTAGCCATCAGAAGCCTGGCGCTTGTCTTTTGAAGTAAAAACTATCAAAGAACTAGGGCTGTAACTCGGTGGCAGAACACATGCTTATCATGAGCAAGGGCCATGGATTCCATTCCCAGAAAGGATTCGCAGGAATCCCATTAATTCCATTCCACACCAGCACCTCTAGTGTGGCAGCACTTTCCTGAAAAACTCAGCACTAGGAAGGCCAAGGCAGGAAGACAGAGTTCAAGACCAGCCTGGGATACAAGCAAGACCCTGCCTCAATTTATTTATTTTTTAAGGATTTATTTTATTATTTAAATGTATGTATGTGTACATGATGCAGGTACCCTCAGAGGCCAGAGGCAGCAGATGCCTCTGGAGCTGAAATTATAGGTGGTTGTGAGCTGTTTATCTTGTTTCAATTTTTTAAAATTCTTTTCAACTAAGTGTGAAAAATGAAAATCTGTCAGCTGGTATCGAGTAAATCTGGGAGGCCAGGGTCAGGGGAAATGGAAACATGAGCAATGGGGAGCTCTGAGTCTGTATCCATACAGGTGTCTTTGTGGGGGACTTCTCCCCTGAGTCCCCATGGTGGCATGCAGAATGCCAGCCTCAGCCGTTTAACATCTCCTCCATGCAGCAATCCCTGAGCCTTCCCCGAAAGAGGTTCCTTTTGGTCTCCTGGACTCCGTCTCAGAGTTGAGTGTTCCTGCATTCATGCTGGGGCCTCCCTTAGGCACAGAACATTACTGCTTCAAGGAAGCTATTGCTGAATGTTAATAAATGATGCAATCCCTGATGTTAAGATAATCATGACTGACAGTTGTGTGGTTTGCACCTGCAATCCCGGTACTAGGGATGTGGATGCAGGAGGACTGTGAATTTGACAGTTCTTGCTGGGCGAGACTTTGTCTCATAATAATCATCATTATATTAGAAACCCCAACACGGGCCTGACCAAGCAAGCTTTCAGTTCGTACCCAGTGAATACTTATTGAGCGTCTACCAAGTACGAGAGGTGTGTGCACAGACACTCATAAACAAGTGTAGTAGCGCAAGTCTGTGAGGCTCAGCGTTAACATGGAAGGGAGACAACCTTGCAGCAATGTTTTAGAGCCACCCCCAATCACCTGGGGTGGGGGAGGGGTAAATGTGACAGTTGTCTTGAAGCTGTAGCTTTCAAATGTGATAGCAGTGACTGCATCAAGCAAAGACTTCTAAAGACACCACCCCACACCCACCTGCACCAGCTGTTGTATTTAGAACTGTATCCACAGCAAAGCAGTCTGAATGGTGGGCAAGATGTGTTTACAGTGTAGGTGCTGGAGAGATGGTTCAGCAGTTATGGGCACCTTCTGCTCTTGCAGATGTGAGTTCTGCAAATTAAGTACGTGTGTGTGTGTGTGTGTGTGTGTGTGTGTGTGTGTGTGTGTGTGTGTGTGTGATGTGTGTCCCTCAAAACCGCCTGTGACTCTAGCGCCAAGGGATCCCATGCTGCCTTCTGGCCTCCTGAGGCCGGATTTTAACTTTGACAGCAGGGTTTGGTGAAGCACACCTGTAATGCCAGCACTCGGGAGACAAGCAGGAGGGTTGCTGAAACCGCTTTGGTCCACACAGCAAGTTCTAGGTCAGCAAGGGTCTCAGCCACAGCAAAGATTACCTGGCGTAAAAGCATTGTTCAGGGGAGGCAAGGGACAGGTGGATCTCTGTGAGTTCCAAACCAGCCTGGTCTACAGAGCAAGTTCCAGGACAGCCAGGGCTACACACAGAGAAGCCCTGTCTCGAAACAACAAACAAACATCGTTCAGAGCTGAGCATGGTGACTCACGCCTGTAACCCCACACTCCAGTGAGCAGAGACAGTAGTATTTTGTGTTTGCAGCCAGCTTGGGCAATTTAGTGGGACCCTGTCTCAGGAGAAAAAAAAAAGATTGGGGAGGAAGGAAGAAGAGAAAAAGCCCTCAGCTGTATGTCAGTAACTCTGGGACCAAGCTTTCTTGATCACTGGCTCCTGGGTGAGCACGTTGGGATCCTCTCTGTTCACAGGGATCTTCAAAGCGCTTCCGCGGCACCTGCGGCGCTGGACCTGGAGCCGCCCCTGCCCGCAGCCCAGCAGCTCCGCAGCTCCTGCCTTCCGCGGAGGAGGAGCCGCTGCGGGTGATTTAGGGCCGGGCGGTTCCGCTGGCGGCCGCCAAGGTACCTATTATCACTCAGGCCGGCCTAGATTTCAGAAATTCTTCTCCGACGTTGCTCCCTCGGGGAAGCACCGGGATACCACCTTGGAAGAAAACCGGGGAGCCACACTTAGGAGGGGCGAAAAGGCCTCTGTGTCTCTGCCCTACCATACCCAGGCCCTCCTCTTGCCACTGGATTAGTATGGGACACCAGTCCAGGCTCTGCTGCTTCATGCTGTCATTCAACAACAGGAGACAACAATTAGTATGAACCCAACGCTTTCTGCATGCCTTGCTAAGTACACACTCTACCTATACTTCTGTCGCCACCCCAACTGCCAACAACAAAACTGTTTTCAGAGGATGTGGGTTCGATTCCCAGGACCCACAAGGCAGCTAGCTCACAACTCCAAAGCCAGGGTATTGGAAGCCCTCTTCTGAACTACCCTGAATCTCATCGTACATACAGGCAAAAACACCCATACAAAAAATAAAATAATCGTTTTTAAAACTTTAAAAATTACTGACTGCCTATTGTGGTTATTACAGACAGTTTAGAGAAACCTACCCTGTTGGGGTCCTGGAGAGCAAATAGTAGTTTGTGTTTTTGAGGGCTGGAGAGGTAGCTCAGTTGTTGAGTGTTTGCCTTACATGCAGGAGGCCCCCTGACTTCTATTCTCAGAACTACGTAAACTAGGTATGGTACCCCAGGTTTGTAATTCCAGCACTCAAGAGGTGGAGGCAGGCAAATAAGTTCAAGGTCATCCTAGGCTACATAGAGAGTTCAAGGCCAGTGGGACCACATGGGATCCTAACACACACACACACACACTGTCTTAAAGTAGAAAAAATGTAAAAATTAGTAGCTTGCTACACATTTCCACAACAATCAAATAATGAAGCTAATCTTTGGCCAAACTGTGGGGGTGCATGTGTTTTTATCTGAGCACCCAGGAGGAAGAGGTAGTGAGTTCAAGAGCAGCCTGGTCTACACATTGAGTTCCAGGCCAAGTGGCTACCTCGTGAGACCCTGCCTCAAGAGCAAACAAACTAATTACAACTACACACACTAAATTATGTATCACGTGCAGGGCGTTGGTGGTGCACGCCTTTAATCCCAGCACTCGGGAGGCAGAGGCAGGCGGATCTCTGTGAGTTCGAGGCCAGCCTGGTCTACAGAACGAGTTCCAGGACAGCCTCCAAAGCCACAGAGAAACCCTGTCTCGAAAAACCAAAAAAAAAAATTCATGTATCAAGTATTATTAAAACAAGCATAGTGACACATGACTGTAATCCCAGTACCCAGGAGACTGGGGCAGGAGGATTTCACATTTAAGGACAGTCTGCATTACATATCCACATCATGTAAGAAAAGAAAAAGGAACACACAAATGGAAGAATGATAAATTACAAATCTAGGCGACATTGGAAGTCGAAGAGATGGCTCAGCTGTTGGGAGCACTGCCTAGTTTGATTCCTGGCACCTACATGGCTGTCTGTAACTCCAGCTCCAGGGCATCTGACACCTTTTGGTCTCTGTGGGTACTGCATAGATGCATACAGGCAAAATACCCATACACTTAAAATAAAAAATATGTATATATATATATATTTTTTTTGAGACAGGGTTTTTCTTCTTAACCCTGCCTGATCTAGGGGATCCAATGTCCTCTTCTGGCCCCCACTTCTGGCTTATCCACTTCACGCTTCAGTTTCCTTGTCTGTCAAATGGGCAAGTGTAACAATAGTACCTCATGAGATTTCTTGTTAGAATTAAATAAAAGGGGGTATGTTAATGAAGCACTCAGTTTCCTCCTAGAGGTGCTCGGGGATATTGACATTTCCTCTTCCTTCCATGGCTCCCTCCCTGCCAGGCTGTAAATCATCTGCTTGACCAGGAGCAACCCCTGGCCTCCTATCCCAGCACTCCTCACCCCTCCCCACTAATGACAGGGCCATTGGCTCCTCATTAAGAAAATGACAAAGAGGCCCCTGTGCTTAGCTGGGGTCCAATTTCGAGACCTGTGCCAGTAAGTGGGGAGTAAAGCAGGAATGTGGAGTCTAGAGGGCTGAGGTGAGGGAGGGCTCTGCCTCCTGGGAGAGGCAGCTTCTGCTCTGGCCAGGGCGGATGAACACCAGAAGTCCTATGGAAAGGACTCTGCTTCCACAGTGAGAAAAAACAGGACTCCTTTCCTGGGTCCAGAGGCTGAAAGCCCGGGGTGGGCTCAACGCTGGTGACCTTTGCCCTCTTTCAGTCTAGGGTCAGTGTGAAAATAAAGTGGGAGAGACCAAAATTAGATTCTAGTGTTTACAGGTGTCCACAGATGAGCACAAGGGGAGGTATGACTGTCAGCCTTTGTCACTGTTACCAGAAACCAGGTATCAATCTTTCAAAGCACCATTTGGTCTCTAGTTCACTGTCCCCAAAGGTGTCCAGTGCCACATCTATACCATGCCATCAACCATGCGTGCGTAAGTCTGGCTGTTCAGGTTCATTCTCCAGAGTTGTCTTAGGTATTCCTAGCCCTTTACACTCTTTTTTATGTAAATAAAACTTTAGAGATGACTCAACAGTTAAAATCACTGACTGCCTTTTTAGAGAGTTGCTCCTTTAATCCCAGCACTCAGGAGGCAGAGGCAGGCAGATCTCTGAGTTTGAGGCCAGCCTGGACTACAGAGTGAGTTCCAGGACAGCCTCCAAAGCTACACAGAGAGACCCTGTCTCAAAAAACGAAAAAAAAAAGGAGAAGGAGAAGGAGAAGAAGAAGAAGGAGGAGGAGGAGGAGGAGAAGAAGAAGAAGGAGGAGGAGGAGAAGAAGGAGGAGGAGGAGGAGGAGGAGAAGAAGAGGAGGAAGAAGAGGAAGAGGAAGAGGAAGACAATAAGGATGACAACGAATAGCTATTCTGCCATTCTGAAGCTTTGGAGTCACACTGAATTTTACACTTTCACTTCAATTTATTTGTATGTACTTAACCACTACACACACACACACACACACACACACACACACACACACACACAGTTAAAGGTCTGTGACAGTTAAAGTAGAAAACCAATTAGCTTTATGTCCTCTTTCATGGCTCGTGCCCATTACCTGGGCTTCATTCTCCTTGTCACCTACCGTTTACACATTTAGAGAAATTTAAGACTCTCATATGTAGTTCCATGACTATTGTGTGGTTCTAAAAAAAATCAAGTTACTTGTTTAATATGCGTCTGTGTGTCAGAAGACAACTTGTGGGGATTGGTGTTTTCCCTTCCACTGTGTGGGTCCTAGGGGTTGAACTCAGGTCACCAGATTTGGCAGCAAGCACTGTTGAGCCCTCTCATTGTCCCTATTCTGTGGTTTCTTTTTTTTTTTTTTTTTTTTTTTTTTTTTGGTTTTTACGAGACAGGGTTTCTCTGTATTGTTTTGGAGGCTGTCGGACCAGCCCGGCCTCGAACTCACAGAGATCTGCCTGCCTCTGTCTCCCAAGTGCTGGGGTTAAAGGCGTGCGCCACCACCGCCCGGCTCTGTGGTTTCTTTTTAAATTCACTCCTATTTCTTCTTTCTCAAGATGACTTCCCTACTGTTGAGAGAGAGAAAAGCCAAAGTAATCCTAGAGTTCACATGTATACTCCATTATGCACAAAAGAGAAAGACCCAGGCAGCTACCCTCCCACTAAAAGTCTTGACCCATAGAGATTGTGAACTTGATTTTTTTTTTTTTTTTTTTTGGTTTTTCGAGACAGGGTTTCTCTGTGGCTTTGGAGGCTGTCCTGGAACTCGCTCGGTAGTCCAGGCTGGCCTCGAACTCACAGAGATCCGCCTGCCTCTGCCTCCCGAGTGCTGGGATTAAAGGCGTGCGCCACCAACGCCCGGCTGTGAACTTGATTTTTAAAACAAGATTATTTATTTATTTTTATTTTATGTGTTCGGGTGTTTTGCCTGCATGTATGTCTGTGTACCACATAAGAAAAGTGCCCACAAAGGCTAGGAGAATGCATGGGATCCCTGAAACTAGAGTTATAGACTGTTACAAGCTACCAAGATTGAACCCAGGTCCTCAGTCTGTCCTCTGGAAAACCATCCAGCACTCTTAACCACTGAGCCGCCTCTCCAGTCTCTCGTTGCTTTTGTTTGTTAAGGTAGGGTCTCTGAGTGAGCCTCTTACCTCAGCCTTGGAAGTGTGAAGATCACAGGTGTGCCCCACCATGCTGGATTTGTTTTAAACCAATAGGTTTGGCAAGTGTTGATGAGACAAGCTATCATTTCCAAGACTTGGCTACAGGTGACTGGAGTATCTGATGTGAGCCGACTCAGTCGACTCCCCTCCCAGTCTGCCTCCACACATATTAGCTTCCCTCTCGCTCCTTCCCTTTCAAGGCTGCCAAGCCATGCTACCCACAGGCTAGAAATGACAGAACTATCAGACAGTGAAGTCTGAACTTCATAATGCCTGGAAGAAACCTGCCCAGGAAGAGTGACTGGCTGAAACACTCTTGTTGAAAGTATATGGACAGCATACAACTTTTTACATTCAAGTCACTGAGATTGGGGACTTACCTATCACAGCACCTAAAATTACTGGAACAGGGAAATATCTTAACATTTCCCCTAAATTTGATCCCAGTTCCTTGTGCAGTAGGTAAGGCAGAGTCTTCTTCAGCCAATGAAGAGTCCTGAGATTCAGAGACATCATGCGTTTTCCCAAGGGTACACAGCCCATGGCTGGAGCAGGACAGTAAAAGATGTGGTACCAGAGAGACAGGATAATCTGGTCCAAAAAACTCAAAGTTCTGGGACAAGTGGCCAGGAGTAGGAGTCTTGCAGAAGCCACTGCTTACCAGTCAAGTGACTTTGTCACTTAATTGCTTCCTTCCACTAGGACAAAGTTTGGCTGTTCAGGAGGTAATATGTCTAAGACTCCTAACACCTAATAGGCACTCAACAAATATTTGATGAAGGAATTAAAATAGGGTTTAGCACAACTCAGCATAAAGTTACCATTGTTTCTGCTTAGGTTTATTTCAGATATAAACACACTACAGCTTATTGCTCTCGGGGTTGTCATTTCTACAAGACCCTGGAATTTGGAAGCCTCTCAGGCCTCCAGCCCCCACCTCCCCGGGCTCCCCCAGACTTGCAGGCCTGTGCCTTTGCTTGTACCATAAATCAGGCCCCACAGGCCTGTAATTAAAGGACCACGAAGGCGGGCTGAGCCCACCCTGTCCCAAGGGCTTCCTGCTCCCCGCCCCTCGGGAGTGGGAGGGACAGACTGGGAGCTGGGGGGTCCCTCACAGGCCCCTAATTTATGGCCATTCTGTGTGAAGGAGATTTATGAGCCAAGACCTGGAGCTGGACCAAGGTGGGAGCATGGGGAGCATGGTGCGGGATACTTGGTGACACCCATGGGTGACCTGTGCCAAGTGATCCCGTGCAAGGGGTGACTGCTTACAGAACACTAGCTCCTGGTTTCCTGGGCAGCTCCTCACACTTAAGAATTCTATAGGACATCCGGCCGTGTCCTTAGATTTAT